CCTGCCATAGATGTAGGCAAAATGTCAGGACAGAATGTTTCTGGAACCTGGCCATACAGCTCAGAAAGCTCACAGCAACCCAGTGATTCCAGCCATGAAAGCCTTTGACAACACAAATCTCATGCATTTTAAAAACATCATTTTCAATGCAGCACCCAAGCAGTTCCATGGTGGTCCTAAAGGACACTTTTACAACATGTCATAGAAGTGTTTCCACATGATGCCTACAAAATAAACATGCCAAGTTAGAATATAATGGATACTCCTACCGAAGCCCTCTGCAGCAAACTCCAAAGGTCCTGTTATCTGCAATCTAGTGATGATGTACTTAGATCGCTACATCTCAGAACATAGATCTCAGCAGTTTTTCCCGAGGCATGCAAACTGGCTCACTTGCTCAGTCATTTGGAACAATTTGCACTGCAATACTTTTTCTGCAGTGCATCTGCTCTTTGTGTACATCTTTGTGTATTCCTCAAGGAGCAAGGGGCCCGATGTTTCTCTCAGTTCTGTAATAGTGACAGATTTGCAATGCTATTCACACTGAAATACCCAGAAACAGAAGGGGAAGAAATTAGCCAATATAGTCAGGATGGAGAATGTGAGGTAGCAGGCTTCCAAATGCTATTGAGCTTGATTCCCTGTATCCTTAGGCAACACAGTTGATTGCAAGGGGTTAGGAGAGTTATAGTGCAGCAATTCTCCTAACCCCGGTGGCACAGCGGGTTAAATCACTGAGCTGCTGAGATTCCTCTGGGATTTAGTAATACAATATAAAGTTCAATCATACGTCACAGTTACATCAGTACTACAGTACAAATTCTAAATCAGTACAAATCATAAATCATAAACAAAAGGATGGCAGTTCGAATCCAGGAAGCAGGGTGAGCTCCCGCTGTTAGGTCCAGCTCCTGCCAACCTAGCAGTTCGAAAACATGCAAATGTGAATAGATCTATAGGTACCGCTCTGGTGGGAAGGTAACGGTGCTCCATGCAGTCATGCCAGCTCATGACCTTGGAGGTGTCTACAGACAACACCGACTGTTTGGCTTAGAAATTTAGATGAGCACCACCCTCAGAGTCGGACACGACCAGATTTAATGTCAGGGGAAAGCTTTACCTTTACTTTACCAGTGAAACAAATCTGTAGCGTCACATAGTTTTTCCAGGACCTGATCCCAAGTTTTCTGCTTATATGAGTCCACATTGCCAAATAATCTGGGATAAACAGAAAATTTGGGATCAGATCCTGGAATATAGGGCCTGTCTGGAAGGGCCCTTGGAAGAAGTTAGTTTTTTGAACCATAAGTCCCAAAATCCGCATTTTGATGAAGGATGAGAGCTGACCTGACCCCACTTTCTCCATTTGGTTACTATTACCATGGAAGCTCAAGTTCAAAAGGACATTGCTCCCATTATGCATTTGTAATCAGATCTTACAGTTTGTGCAATTCAAGAATACTTTACAATCTATTAATTCATCCATTTAAAAAAGAGAATATTGGTGACGTTGGGTATAGGATTTACAGCCTTCCTAATAAGTGATTATAATTCCCAGGAAGACAACATTATTCTATAAACGAGTTATGGGGCAACTTGGGCCCTTGAGGTGTTTTGGACTTCAACTCCTTAGGCAGCTGAGGGGGGAAAGGAAAGGGCCTGAGGCTGTTAGGAATGGTGGGAGTTGAAGTCCAAAACACCTCGAGGGCCCAAGTTGCCCCATGCCTGCTATAAACTGTATCACCCATACCGCAGGCTGAATAATTAATTCAATATTTTAATACTGTAATCTTCATACTAGTGAGCTCTGAAAGTTCTTTTTTTGTCCACTGACATCCAAGGGTTTAACAGTTCAACCCGAGGCACGTCTACTCAAAAGCAATTCTCATTAAATCCATGTAATCCTAATCCCAGGCATATGCATATAGGATTGTAGACTAATTTTCTTGAGTCTGTGTAAGAGGTCTGAGGGGCAGCCCTACCCCCAAAACCTCTCTCTACTGTATGGTTTGTGCTTATTTAACTCCAATTAGAGTAACTCTTTCTTCTGCTAGTATCCATGAAAAAAAATTAACACAGGTGAAAAAAAGATAGGTCAGGGTGATTCAAAAAAGAGCAGAAGGTTATACACCTGCTGTTGGGTTTGTTGACACTTCTTCTTCCTCAGATGTGATCAGAGTTGTCAGAAGTTGGCAGCCCTGATCACTTCTCAAGCAGTTTATGACACAACATGACCCTGGAGTGCTCCTCCCAGGCATCTATTTATGCTGATGGCAATGCTGCAAAGTACGTCTCTGTCAAAAGCAAACACTTTAGTGCTGGAATCACATGGAGTCCTGTCTCACATTCAGAATGCCACGGTTGTGGGTCTTAAACATGCAAAATATTTGAAATAAACCCCTGGATCTTATGTTGCAGACTGATCAATGTTTACATCATAATGGAAATCTTCTAAATAATGTTCATATACTTTTTGTGTGTGTCAGGAGCGACTTGAGAAACTGCAAGTCACTTCTGGTGTCAGAGAACTGGCCATCTGCAAGGTTTTACCATCCTGTGGGAGGCTTCTCTCATGTGAAGATGGAGCTGACAGACAATAGCTTACCCCACTCCCCAGATTCAAACTGCTGACCTTTCAGTCAGCAGTCCTGCTGGCACAAGGGTTTAATCCATTGCATCACCAGGGTTCATATACTGAAAAGAATATTAGTCAGTATGAGGTCATGCCACTTTAGTTGCAGTATAAAAGGTAAAGGTAAAGGTTCCCCCTGACATTATGTCTAGTCATGTCCAACTCTGGGGGGTGGTGCTCATCATCTCCATTTCTAAGCCAAAGAGCCGGCATTGTCCATAGACTCCTCCAAGGTCATGTGGCCAGCATGACTCCATGGAGTGTTGTTTCCTTCCCGTAGAAGTGGTTCCTATTGATCTACTCACATTTGCATGCTTTTGAACTGCTAGGTTGGCAGAAGCTGGGGCTAACAGTGAGAGGCTGGATGGCCATCTGTCAGGGGGCTTTGAATGCAATATTCCTGCTTCTTGGCAGGGGGTTGGACTGGATGGCCCATGAGGTCTCTTCCAACTCTATGATTCTATGATTCTATGCTCTCCGGATTCGAACCGCCAACCTTTTGGTCAGCAAGTTCAGCCGCTCAGTGGTTTAACCCTCTGTGCCACTGGGGGGGGGGGGGATTAGTTGCAGTATACATTATTATTATTATTATTATTATTATTATTATTATTATTATTATTATTGAGAGTGCAAACAGGATAGAGCTGTAAGGACTTCAGAACCAGGAAGATGCAATATTCTGCTGTATTGCTGATTACCTTAGTGATCAAACAGCAGCATGGACACTCATGGAGGAAGCAAATACTAGTTTAGAACCTATGATGCCTTTATATATACTATTCAAATAGAAGACTGTGACCCTTAAAAAAGATATTATATCAGAAATGATTATAGGACACGGATAGCTGGAAAATATTGTACCATACACAACAAACACAAATGTATGTCCATTTCAATAAATAAATAAATATTAAGAAAGTGTTAAAAACAAAGTTTTATTGAGTCTTGCCAGACAAGAGAGGACAAAGTTCCCTAAAATATCATTCTCCAGATTAGGAAACTGCACTTTTCCCCACCTCCTAGAGTTGGAAAATACCAAAGTTTAGGGAATTTTTGAAAATCATCAGATACAGGCGAGGTTGGGTTGACCCTGTCCTTTTCCTTCCTTCTAAGCAGCACAGTTTGGCTCCATCAACATCAGGGAAAGTCCCCTTAAATACTGTTTTAATTGTCCCCATTTAAAATGCTAACGTTTCAATGGGAAAATGCTGGCGGAAAGACTTTTTGTCTAGGTTACTGTGAGTTTTCCGGGCTGTATGGCCATGTTCCAGAAGCATTCTCTCCTGACATTTTGTATGCATCTATGGCAGGCATCCTCAGAGGGTGTCTGTTGGAAATTACGTAAGTGAGGTTTGTATATCCGTGGAATGTCCAGGGTGGGAGAAAGAACTTTGTCTCTTTGAGGTAAGTGTGAATTGGCTACCTTGATTAGCATTTAATGGCCAAGCAGTTTCAAGGTCTGGCTTCTTACTGCCTTGAGGAATTCAAACCTTGAAACTGCTAGGCCATTAAATGCTGATCAAGGTGGCCAATTGAAACATTCACACTTGCTTCAAACAGGCAAGAGTTCTTTCTCCCACCCTAGACATTCCACTGATATATAAACCTCTGAGGATGCCTGCCATAGATGCAGGCGAAAAGTCAGTCGAGAATGCTTCTGGAATGTAGCCTGGAAAACTCACAACAACCCTTCATCGCACTGGAGAAAAATCCACTTAAAGTCTGGTTTCTGTCTCTTGCAGAATTCTGGGATCTGTAGTTTAGTGAGGCTGTTAAAGGCTCCATCCTAAACTACAAACTCCAGAATTCTGCAAGAGACAGAAACCAGATTTTAAGTGGATTTTTTCACTAGTGTGATGAGGCCACCAGTGATTCTGGTCATGAAAGCCTTCGATAAGACTTGATGTCTTCTCTTCTTCAAACCCAGGGATTACACAGGTGGCTTCCTTCCCTCTGCTGTCAAATCCTTCTTGAAAGGACAGGACAAAACTCGTATGTGTGTGTGCTGAATGGAGAGCTTGACCAAGCTAAGGGCAACCTCTTCGCCCAATATGCATTGCCTCACTTATACTATACGTTGCTGTGAGCCTGGCACACAACCATCACTACCCGATTTCCAAGGCTCTCCTTTCAAGGACAAAAGGGATTTTACGCCAGGGGCTCTGGAAGGGGTTTGAAGCCAAACAACAGGCAAACTTGCCCTGCAGTTCCTTAAGTGAGTCCCTGCCGCTCCTTGGGAGGGGGTTCGGAGGGGAACGGAGGCTGGAAATGAAGGTCACGTTAAGGCTCAGCAGGGATCCAGTATGGGGAAAGGAGGAAAAGGAGGGGGGCACTGCAGCAAAGATGCTCCGTCCATGCGTGCACTTACCGTGGAAACGGAAAGATCGGAGGGAAGGTCCCTTTGGAAAGCTCTCTTCTCCTTCAGATTGCAGAGAGACGCAAACCCATCAGCAGCAGCAGCAGCAGCCCTGGGAAGCGAGGCTTCAGAGAAAGGCGATGCTCAAGTAGACACAACACAACAGGCAGTCTTTACGCAAAGCCGAACCTGTAAGCGGTTTGACTGCGGGCGAAAACCCGGGACATGAAGACCTCGGGCTCCTTCCTCTGTTGCACTGCAGCTACCAAAACAGAAGGCTTGTTCCCCCTCGAGTCTTTTCCCCACTCTCACACACAATGGTGTGGGTTCTCCTCCTCCTCCTCCTCCTCCTCCTCCTCCTCCTCCTCCTCCTCCTCACTCAACCCCCGCCTCCCCCGGCTGCCTTCATATGCTCCCAATTACTTGCCTCGTAGAGAGATGATGTGTTGGTTGGGGAAGAGGAGGAGGAGGAGGAGGAGGAGGAGGAGGTGAGGAGCCGGAGAGCTGCCCAGCACCAGGAGTCTTCCTCAGCCCTCGCCGGCAGCCAATCAGGCGGCGCCTTGAGAAGAGCCAGAGTGACACCTAATAGCCCAGGAGTCTTGACAAGGGAAGCAAGGGCGCAACACCTTTCTCTGCCCTTTTCAGACCTTCTTGTAGTCAAGGCACACCAAGGAACAGCCCAGCTTGACACACAAGGCACAGCCTCACACTAGGAGAGTCCTCTTTTGCTGCTCATCTCTGCTACTCACCAGCGCAGGGCAGGGCAGTGTGGATGCTGCCTGCCTTCTGGCATCATCAGCTTGAACTTAAGTTTTTGGGGTTTTTTTTCTCCATGGTTTCTGCACAGTTAGACAGTCACATCCCTTTTTTCGCCTTCCACTAGATCTGGCATGGGCAAACTTCAGCCCACTCCAGGTATTTTGGACCATTGTGGGAGTTGAAGTCCAAAACACCTGGAAGGCCAGAGTTTGCCCATGCCTGTACTAGAAGCAGTGGTTCCCAACTTTTGATCCTCTAGATACTTTGGACTTCAACTCCCAGAAATCCCAGCCAGTTTACCAGCTCTTACGGATTGTCGGAGTTAAAGTCCAATACTAATAATAATAATGAAGAGAAACAACTGGAAAAGCTGAGATGATACGAGGATTTAAAGATCGAACTGCAAAGACTGGCACAAACCAGTAAAGGCAGTCCCAGTGGTGATCGGCACACTGGGTGCAGTGCCTAAAGACCTTGGCCTGCACTTAAACACAATTGACACTGACAAAATTACCATCTGCCAGCTGCAGAAGACTATCTTACTGGGATCTGCACGCATTATTCACTGATACATCACACAGTCCTAGACACTTGGGAAGTGTCCGATGTGTGATCCAATACAATAGACAGCAGAGTGATCTTGTCTGCTGTGGACTCATCTTGTGTTTCAAATAATAGTAATAATAATAATAATAATAATAATAATAATAAGGCTCTGGCATAAACCAGTACAGGTGGTCCCAGTGGTCATCAGCACACTGGGTGCCGTGCCAAAAGATCTCAGTCGGCATTTGGAAACAATAAACATCGACAAAATCACGATCTTTCAATTGCAAAAGGCCACCTTACTTGGATCACTGAGAAGGCCTTCTCTCTCATTCCCACCAGCCGCACCTGAGACGGAGGTGGGAGCGAGAGGAGAGTCTCCCCAGAAGTTGTTAGAGATCCAAAACACCTGGAGGACCAGAGGTTGAGAACCACTGCACTAGAGAGTTTGTAAGCCAGAGCCTCTTAAATTTTCCCCACTGGTAATCCTGTTCCACCTGAAAAAAAATCATGCAACCTTGGACATATACTGTGTTTCCCCAAAAATAAGACATTGCCTTATATTTATTTTTCCTCAAGAGGGCACACTATGGCTTATTTTCAGGGGATGTCTTATTTTTATTAAGTATGGTACAACAATCTGTATTTATGGGATGATCTCTCTGGGCTCAGTAGCAGACTGCTTGCTGAAGCTTTTGTGTGGGGTGAGAGAGACCCACAGTACTGGGTAAAATGGCAGCCTCAGCTTAACTTCTTTCCCCTGAGGACACACAATACCTAAAGCAGAGCAGAGCTCCTCACTTCACCGAGGAGGCTGTTACATTCACTTTTTACGTCTTCCTCTATGCCTCTGCTTGCAGCATGCACACAACAACCGCACAGAACAACTGGGGTAGCCAACCTTGTACGCTGCATAGCCACGCCTATCACTATGTCTTATTTTTAAGGTATGGGTTATATTGCACGAATGCTTAGAAATCCAGCTTATTTTATGGGTACTTTTTATTTTATGGGAAACAGGGTTTTATATAAAATTGGGGAAAAAAATCAAATGCTCCCTGAGGTACTGTTCCATTATCCAGGCAGAGGCCACAAGAGGGCACTAGAGAGAGAATGCTAGTCAATTTTACAGGTGGGGGGAGTTGAAGGAGGAAAACAATTTCCTCTGTTTTCATGGTTATTCCCCTCCTCCTTTACCATATCATAGACCAGGGTTGTTTCCATGACAGGGACATGGGTGGGAGGAATAACAGGCAAACAGGGGGAAATGGTTTTCCTCCTTGAACCCACCCTCCACCCCGTGAAATTGATTATCATTCTCTCTCTAGGCCCCCTTGTGGCCTCCCCCTTGTGAAATACTTTATTTCTAGACCGCCCTCTCTCCCTGAAGGGACTCAGGGCGGTTTAGAGACACAAAACAAAGGCAAACATTCAATGCCTCAAATGAATACAACCACATCAAAATAATACAAGATAATGCACAGAAACAACAGGGAACTTATATCAAATAATTAAGCATCAAGATGAAAATAATAAAAAAGCAATCCAATAAGACATAGTACACTAAAACATAAGTAAAATATTACAACATATATCCTAAAAGAAATTAGGATACTCCTTCAAACCACCCCTATAAAATGGGCTATCCTTCTCTCACTAGTACCCCCTAGTGGCCTCCACCCAGATAATAAAACAGTACCCTTATGGATAATAAATTAACGTTTGCAAGGCTTGCTGAACTGGCTGGTTTTCCTTTTTGTGGAGTATAGCTAAATATTTTCTGCAGAGTCCACTGTAAACACTGCACATTGTTGCTGATGGATTTGTGTAAATATCTAGGCGGTATTTAGAAATTTTTTATTGTTGCCATTTTTTCTTGGCAGGGAATTGGATTGGATGGCCCATGAGGTTTCTTCTAACTCTATGATTCTATGATTGAGCTAAGAGGTCCACATTTGGGGGCCTGGGCTTACTAAAAGCCTCATCACACTGGAGCATTTTCCCACTTCAATCCACTTTAACATTGCAGATTTCTGGAGTTTGTAATTTAGGAAGGGGCCTTTAAGCTGCTCATCCAGAGAAGCCCTTTGTCTCCCTTAAACTACAAGCCCCAGAATTCTGCAGGAAGCAGTCACAGCATTCAGCACAGTTAGACTAGATATCGGCAAGCTTCAGCCCTCCAGGGGTTTTGGATGTGAACTCCCACCATCCGTAACTGTCTTGGGCCCTTTCCTTTCCCCGCTGTCTCCACAACAAAAAGGATCAGTGTGAAGAGAGCCGCTGTCTGAGGCTCCAGCAGGCAGAGGAAAGTGTTTGGCATTTCTAGCAACATCACAGCATCCAGATTAAAAGATAAAAAGAGGAAAGAAAATGAGAAAATGAAGAGATTGAAGTGGGAAAATGCTCAAATGTGATGAGCCCCTTAGTCACAAAAGTGCAAATATACAGTACACTGACGGATAAAGGATTGGGATTCTACTGTTAACTAACAACATGGAGAATGCATACAGTTGTCCTGTCAAAGCATTATGAAGAAGTCTGCATTTCTACAATAGACACTCAAAGTTGTGCAAGCAACCATACATTCCCCACAAATCTAACATCTATCTCAACCTTACAAATTCCTCAATACTAAGATAAGGGCATGTAATGTGTTTAATGCACTTAAAGCAAGAATAGTAATTCCGAAGCCTTCCAGATATAGTTGGATTCCATTTCTCACCATTCCATACTATTAGCTTTTGTCTAGAGCCAGAGGTTTTCAGTGTCGGAGACTGAGGTATTATACCACAAGCCTTACTGATGGTAAATGATGAAGCAGATGGTACACAGCAGAGAAGCATGCCAGTTCTTCCACTGATAGGGTCCAGCAGCCCTCACAATCAATGGTAGAACAAGAGCTCCACAGAGCTTCAGTTGGTGATCAAATCAAATCTTCATCGATAAACATATAGGAAGCCATTGGACTGAGGTGCAACCCTGCCTCACCAAGCTGAGACCAATGAAATATTTTTTTACAACATGTATAGCCCCTCTTTCTCAATCATACGGTGACTCAAGGTGGGTTACAGATTGGCCAGATTCGATGCCATGCATTCATAAAAGTGCAATTTAAAACAGTCAACATAACAATATAAAAACATATATAAAAACCATTAAAACATGTAGTCACCAATGTCATCTTGTTAAAATCGTTTTCCAGTTACACCATCTGGCCATTCCATGTTTATCATTCATAGTTTCATGCTATCTATTCTGCTGTATTCTCAAAAGCTTGCTCAAAGAGCCAAGGTTTTACCTTTTTTTGGGAAAGTCAGGAGGGAGGGGGATGATCTAATATCCCTGGGGAGAGAGTTCCATAGCTGGGGAGGGGGGGGGCACCACTGAGAAGGCCAAGTCCCTCATCCCCACCAATCATGCTTGCGATGCAGGCGGGATTGCGAGCAGGGCCTCCCCAGATGACCTTAAGCTCCTAGATGGTTCATAAGGAGAGATACATTTGGACAGGTAAGCTGGGCCAGAACCATTTAGGGCTTTATAGGCTAAAGTCAGCACTTTGAATTGTGCCCAGTAGCCAATTGGCAGCCAGTGGAGCTGACGCAACAGAGTAATAGTGTGCACCCTGAGAGTCGCTCCCATTATTAACCTGGTTGCAGTCAGTTGGATCATTTGAAGATGGGCTTCTAAGGTTAATGTAGTAAAAAGAAGACAGAATCAAAGTACACATACATGACCAATGTCCCACCAATAGCTTTTAAAAGTGTATAAGAAGGTTAGTAACAACATCAACACCACTTCCCCAGTTGGTTCTCAGCGTTCGTATCTTTTCCGAGCCTCAAACTGCAAATTGAATCCACAAAGTATCCAACATAGATATTGGCACAAGTCAGCTCTCTCACACCACTGAACAGCTGTCATGATGCTAACAAGAACTCTGAAATCTATCTGTATGGTAACAGCTGCCCAGCTCACTACAGCTGTACTGGTTACAGCAGGCATGGGCAAGCTTCCACTCTCCTGGTATTTTGGACTTCAACTCTCACCATTCTTAACAGCGTCAGATCCCCTCCTGTTCCCCCTTAAGTCACTTAAGGAAAGGGCCTGAAGCTGTTAGGAATTGTGGGAGTTGAAGTCCAAAACACCTGGAGGGCTGAAGTTTGCCCATGCTTGGGTTACAGGTATATTAAAAGTTGTATTCCAAATAGGAGTGGAGCCAACGTCATGTAGTGCTTTGAGTAATGGCGTAGGATTCTGGGAAACCAGGGTTCAAATTCACATACCCCTCAGCCTGAGATTAAGGAAATGATAAACCCGTTCTAAACAGAACTTTCCAAGAAAACATGTGATAGGTTCTCCTGGGTGGCAATAAGTCAAAAACAAGAAACAACTTGAAGATACACAACACTAACAGCAGTTCAACAGCAGCTGGTA